ACTTCAAAAAGCTCTACACAAAAGCAGTGTGTGAAAAGTCCTTTGAAGTGACCTCTGGCACTCAGTTGACCCTAAGAGAGTTCTGGAAAGATCACTTCACTAATCTCAGTTGCATAAGCTTTATAGGTAAGGCTTGGGAGGGAGTGACTTCCAGGACTTTGAACTCTGCTTGGAGACAATTGTGGCCAGGTAGTTTCCAAAAGAGGGATTTTGAAGGGTTTGAGGCTGACTCTGACTCTGCTGACCCTGTGGACTCTATTGTGGCACTGGGGAAGTCCCTGGGGTTGTAGGTGAGTGGTGAGGATGTGGAAGAGTTGGTGGAGGATCACAGGGAAGAGTTAACCACTGAAGAGCTGCAAGAGCTTCAACTCGAACAGCAACAGACTGCAGCAGAGGAACTTGCTTCAGAGGAGGAGGCAGAGGGAGTGAAAGAGGTGCCTTCTTCAGAGATTAAAGAGGTATGTGCAATATGGACTAGGGTGCAAGCTTTTGTAGAGAAATACCACCATGACCAAGTTGAAATAAGCCTGACCTGACCTGACTAGGTTGGGTGCATTGGCTTAAGCCAGTAGGAGACTTGGACCTGCCTCGCATGGGCCAGTAGGCCTGCTGCAGTGTTCCTTCGTTCTTATGTTTTTTTTTTTTATTATCACACTGGCCGATTCCCACCAAGGCAGGGTGGCCTGAAAAAGAAAAACTTTCACCATCATTCACTCCATCACTGTCTTGCCAGAAGGGTGCTTTACACTACAGTTTTTAAACTGCAACATTAACACCCCTCCTTCAGAGTGCAGGCACTGTACTTCCCATCTCCAGGACTCAAGTCCGGCCTGCCGGTTTCCCTGAACCCCTTCATAAATGTTACTTTGCTCACACTCCAACAGCACGTCAAGTATTAAAACCCATTCGTCTCCATTCACTCCTATCAAACACGCTCACGCACGCCTGCTGGAAGTCCAAGCCCCTCGCACAACAAAACCTCCTTTACCCCCTCCCTCCAACCTTTCCTAGGCCGACCCCTACCCCGCCTTCCTTCCACTACAGACTGATAAACTCTTGAAGTCATTCTGTTTCGCTCCATTCTCTCTACATGTCCGAACCACCTCAACAACCCTTCTTCAGCCTCTGGACAACAGTTTTGGTAATCCCGCACCTCCTCCTAACGTCCAAACTACGAATTCTCTGCATTATATTCACACCACACATTGCCCTCAGACATGACATCTCCACTGCCTCCAGCCTTCTCCTCGCTGCAACATTCATCACCCATGCCTCACACCCATATAAGAGTGTTGGTAAAACTATACTCTCATACATTCCCTCTTTGCCTCCAAGGACAAAGTTCTTTGTCTCCACAGACTCCTAAGTGCACCACTCACCCTTTTTCCCTCATAAATTCTATGATTCACCTCATCCTTCATAGACCCATCCGCTGACACGTCCACTCCCAAATATCTGAATACATTCACCTCCTCCATACTCTCTCCCTCCAATCTGATATCCATCTTTCATCACCTAATATTTTTGTTATCCTCATAACCTTACTCTTTCCTGTATTCACTTTTAAATTTTCTTCTTTTGCACACCCTACCAAATTCATCCCCCAAATCTCTGCAACTTCTCTTCAGAATCTCCCAAGAGCACAGTGCATCAGCAAAGAGCAACTGTGACAACTCCCACTTTATGTGTGATTCCTTATCTTTTAACTCCACGCCTCTTGTCAAGACCCCGCATTTACTTCTCTTAAACCCCATCTATAAATATATTAAACAACCACAGTGACATCACACATCCCTGTCTAAGGCCTACTTTTATGGGAAATAATTTCCCTCTTTCCTATGTACTCTAACTTGAGCCTCACATCCTCGTAAAAACTCTTTACTGCTTTCAGTAACCTACCTCCTACACCATACACCTGCAAACATCTGCCACATTGCCCCCCTATCCACCCTGTCATACGCCTTTTCCAAATCCATAAATGCCCACAAGACCTCTTTGCCTTATCTAAATATCTTCACTTATATGTTTCACTGTAAACACCTGTCCATACCCCCCCTTTACCTTTCCTAAAGCCTCCTTGTTCATCTGCTACCCTATTCTCAGTCTTACTTTTAATTCTTTCAATAAATAACTCTACCTTTACACTTTACCAGGTAACTCAACAGACTTATCCCCTATAATTTTTGCACTCTCTTTGTCCCCTTTGCCTTTATACAAATGAACTATGCATGCTCTCTGCCAATCCCTAGGTACCTTACCCCTTCCATACATTTATTAAATAATTGCACCAACCACTCCAAAACTATTTTCCCACCTGCTTTTAACATTTCTATCTTTATCCATCATTCCCGGTGCCCTTACCCCCTTTCATTTTACCTACTGCCTCACGAACCTCCCCCACATCACTATGGCTTTCCTCACTCCTACAAGATGTTATTCCTCCTTCCCCTTTACACGAAATCACAGCTTCCCTATCTTCATCAACATTAACAATTCCTCAAAATATTCCCTCCATCTTACCAATACTCTAACTCTCCATTTAATAACTCTCCTCTCCTTTTTTTAACTGAAAAAATCCATTTGTTCTCTCGGCTTCCTTAACTTGTTAATCTCACTCCTAAACTTTTTCTTATTTTCAACAAAATTTGTTGAAAAACATCTCACCCACTCTCTCATTTGCTCTCTTTTTACATTGCTTAAACACTCTTCTTAACTTCTCTCTTTTTCTCCATATACTCTTCCCTCCTTGCATCACTTCTACTTTGTAAAAATTTTATATGCTAAATTTTTCTCCCTTTTCTACTCTTTACATCATCATTCCACCAATCGCTCCTCTTCCCCCCTGCACCCACTTTCCTGTAAACCCCAAACTTCTGTGAACACTCTAACACTACATTTTAAACCTACCCCATTTCCCCTTCGAACCCCCTTGCCTATGCTCTCATTAGCCCATCTATCCTCCAATAGCTGTTCATATCTTTCCCTAACTGCCTCCTCTTTTAGTTTATAAACCTTCACCTCTCTCTTCCCCGATTTCTTCTATTCTCCTTGTATCCCATCTTTCCTTTTACTCTCAGTGTAGCTACAACTAGAGAGTGATCTGATATATCGGGGGCCCTCAAAAAACATGTACATCCTGAAGTCTACTCAACAGTCTTTTATCTACCATACATAATCCAACAAACTATGTCATTTTTTCCCTACATCATATCTTGTATACTTATTTATCCTCTTTTTCTTAAAATATGTATTACCTATAACTAAACCCTTCTTACAAAGTTCAATCAAAGGGCTCCCATTATCATTTACACCTGGCACCCAAACTTACCTACCACACCCTCTCTAAAAGTTTCTCCTACTTTAAACATTCAGGGCCCATACCACAATTACTCTCTCACTTGGTTCAAAGGCTCCTATACATTCACTTAACATCTCCCAAAATCAACTCTCTCCTCTGCATTCCTCTCTTCTCCGGGGGCATACACGCTTATTATGACCCACTTCTCGCATCCAACCTTTACTTTAATCCACATAATTCTTGCATTTACACATTCATATTCTCTTTTCCCCCTTCCATAACTGATCATTCACATTACTGCTAAACCCCCTTTCCTTTGCTCTAACTCTCTCAGATACTCCAGATTTAATCCCATTATTTCCCCCACCGAAATCCCCTACCCCCTTCAGCTTTGTTTCCTTAGGGCCAGGACATCCAACTTCTTTTCATTCATAACTCAGCAATCATCTGTTTCTTGTCATCTGCACTACATCCACGCACTTTTAAGCATCCCAGTTTTATAAAGTTTTTCTTCTTCTCTTTTTTAGTAAATGTCTACAGGAGAAGGGGTTACTAGCCCATTGCTCCCGGCATTTTAGTCGCCTCATACGACACGCATGGCTTACGGAGGAAAGATTCTTTTCCACTTCCCCATGGACAATAGAAGAAATAAAGAAGAACAAGAGCTATGTAGAAAAAGGAGAAAAACCTAGATGTATGTATATATATATGCATGTGCATGTCTGTGAAGTGTGACCAAAGTGTAAGTTGGAGTAGCAAGATATTCCTGTTGTCTAGCGTGTTTATGAGACAGAAAAAGACACCAGCAATCCTACCATCATGCAAAACAGTTACAGGTTTCTGTTTCACAGTTATCTGGCAGGACGGTAGTACTTCCCTGGGTGGTTGCTGTCTACCAACCTACTACCTGAGTAGTAGGTTGTTCTTATAAAACCCTGTCCCACTTCAGGGAAATCTTAGAGACCTCAGAAACAGAGCACTCTTGACAGTTATTTTGTGTGACAGGGGTCCAGTGACTCTCAAGCTGGTCCTAGTGGCATTAAAAGACAAAGAAGGAAGTAACCGCAGAGAAAACTTTGCTGCCTAAAGTCTTTATGGAGGGGAATTCCCCATCCAAACAAACTTCTCCCTCTTTCCTCCTCCCTATCTTCCAGAAGCCAGCATTAGCCTTCAATAAAGGTATGTAATATTTATATAATTGTTAAAAAAATGATTTTTTTGTGAATACTTTTGTCTGGAACGGATTAATTGTATTTCCATTAATTCTTATGGGAAATATTATTTCGGTTTTTGGCCATTTCGGTGTTGGGCCGAGCTTCTAGAACGGATTATGGCCAATAACTTAGGGTCTACTGTATTATATATATATTTATGTCTGTCTTTCTTGTCCTGAGACAGACATCCTACCAACTTGTATTCACTACACAGTCAAATAACAATTCATAACTCCCTCTCTCTATGTAAGATAGATTAGTATTTAAGGTTTGAAGCCAGTCCAATGATGCATTTACAGATTATTATGTGAAAACTGATACTGTATTTCAGTTTTCATAAATTCTTCAGTAATATTAGTTAATGCTAATTTTTCTTATATTAAGATACACTAGCTTTTTGAGTTTGAAGCTGAACACAAGAAGAATTCTTCAGTTATTACACAAAAACCAATTTGTTTAATAACATTGGAAAATTAAACCCTGCACAGCTTGAAGTCAGTCTGAACCCTTCTTTAAGTAAACTCCACCACAGCTGAAAGTTTGAAGGAAGGGAAGTAGAGGACACTCACATTCACCAACACTGCATGAAACTTCCCCTAGTTACAGTACACTAGTGCTGAAAATGTGAAACACTGGATGAAGTGTCCTCAAGTATTAAATGAAAGTTTTGGAAGGAAAAAAAAATAAAGGTACTCCTTCAGGGACACCTAATGATAGAGAAAATATGCAAATCGTTGAAGCACATGGTTGGCCATTTAACAAATTACCAAGTTTCACTATACATATTTTAACTCAGTACAACTAAAATTACTAAAGAAATGTACATTACTGTAAAATAAATTTTATGCAGCTGAGTTAAACTACAAAGGTAGGTTTATCGATGGAGATTTTTTGAGAAGATTAACCCTTAAACTGTCCAAACGTAGATCTACGTTTTTTCAACATTTGAAAGTATGTAAAAAAAGTAGAACTTTATTTTTTTACATTTGAAAACGTGTAAAAAAAACTTTGATCTACGTTTTTTTTTTTGTTATATTTGAAAATATGTAAAAAAAACGTAGATCTACATTTGGAGCACTATGCATGTGAACATAGCTCTGCTTGGACAGTTTTAAGGGTTAAGCTGGTAAGTGTGATAATTATGTATATCATATATAATAAAACTGATTTATTTTGTGTGTATTTTTTTAGCTGTATTTATTTTGCTTTTGTGGTTATAAGTAGAACATTTATACACCATTCCAAATATAAAAAATTCCAAACTTGCAAGTATTTCAAAATACTGTACAGTGTTACATACTTCTCTTAACACCCAGAAAATATAGCAGTTGTATATTGAGCACCTTGAGCATTGTGACTGGCAAACTGGCAACAGTTTCTTGGATGGGATAATTCAAGGTTTGAGGCTTGCGTTTGCTCCAAAATCGTATAAAATTATGAGAGTTATAAAAGAAGTTCTGACACGTCAAAACTTTGATGTGTGCGCTACATACAGTTAATCAGCTCTTCCTATGTTATTTTGTTAATTATAAATAAAAAACCATACTGCTACATGTTGCTTACTTGTGTTACTTCAGTATTAAATCCACTATATTTTGTAATGTGAATGAGTTTTGTTAGGTTAAGTAAGAATTGTCTGGAAATAGGACAAATGCCTCCTAATGTGGGCCTTTGTCTTAGGATACTTGGCCACTGGAGGTTTACACAGCATGCATCTTTCGTGTCATGGTATGTCTGTATTTCTACTAAACCATGACTTACAGATCTTGGATGTTTCAGTAATGTTCATCATTGCAGTGCTAATTATTAACTTGCAGGGCTAACTGCATCATTCTCTTCTGTCATGTTAACCCTTGGAATTTTGCAAAAAACTGCTACAGTTATATTGCTAATATGCTCTTTTGGTGATATGTTCGATGAGATTCTGACTCCTAATTCTTTCTTTTACACACTGGCTGCAGTGCTCCTCCCAAGCTGTATTCCATGTCATGTCTCCTCATTTCCATCTCTATTGTCATTACTTGTTACTTCTTAGGACTGAATGGTAGCATCTATGTGCCCTACTATACTTTTCAATCTACTCATTATCCTTGATTATTATTATAATCAAAAAGAAGCGCTAAGCCACAAGGGCTATACAGCGCATTATCCTTGAGTCTCCCTTTCATCATCAGTTTTTTGTGTTTCTCATTAATTTCGACATCATCAGACAATGCCCACCTCTTCTTGTCTTCTATTCTCCAGAGGTTCTTTTATCAATATCCAGTTGAGCAACTTCTTGTTTACTACTGCCCGCTTTTCCAGTTTATATAACAGCCTTCAGGGTGGTACTGTGTTAATGCAATTTTACAGTCTAATAATGTGTGGGGCAACAGAAATCTGTCTTTCATGCTTTATTTATGTTTCTCTGCCATAGAGTAGGAGATTCTTAAAATAGTATTTGTCATATCAGGTGAAGTGGTGAGCAGAAAAACTGAAGGCAGATCAGGTATAGAGGTATGGAGAAAGCCAAGGTCATATGTGTTCGAAATGTTAGAGCATTTGACAGTGAACTAAGAAAAGCAAATGTAGCTCTTATGCTAGGTTAGGTAAGATTCATCAGGAAACAGGGCAAATGTTTCCTGGTATGGCTTATAGTCATGTGACCTGCTAACTGGAACTTTTGGTTATACTGTATGATCAAAATCTTCTTCTGGCTTAGTTGATTGTTTAATGAGGCTTAAAGTTTATTGACTACATGAAGGTAATTAAGCCTGCATGTTACCTGTCTACCACCAGTCAAAAATACTTTTTAACCCTAATATAGGGATTAAAGTGAGCTCTCAGTATTTATAAACCAAGGGACATTCATCTTGGTGTATATATCCTGTGCTACCTTGAAGTCTACCTGGAAATTGTTCAAGGGATCAACACTCCCATGGCCTGGTCCTTGACCAGGCTTCCTGGTGGATCAGGGCCTAATCAACTAGACTGTAATTGCTGGCCACACGCAATCCACCGTATGAACCACAGCCCAGCTGATTGTGCACTTACTTTAGGTATCTGTCCAGTTTTCTCTTGAAGACAGTCAGGGGGCCTGTTGGTAATTCCCCTTATGCATAATGGAAGGCTGTTGAACAGTCTTGGGCCCCAGATACTTAATGTTTTCTCTTAGTATGCTCATTGAACCCCCGCTTTTCATTGGGGGCATGTTGCAACGTCTGCAGTCTTTTACTTTCGTAGGGAGTGATTTCTGTAAGCAGAATTGGGACCAATCCCTCTAGGATTTTCCAAGTGTAGGTTAGGATGTATCTTTCTTGCCTGCATTCCAGGGAGTACCAGTCAAGGGCCTTCAAACATTCCCAGTAATTAAGGTTCTTGACCGAACAAATACATACAGTGAAGGTTCTCTGTACATTCTCTAGATCTGCAGTTTCACATGCCTTGCATGGGGCTGTTATTGTACAGCAGTATTCCAGCCTGGAGAGAATAAGTAACTTAAAAAGAATCATCAGTGGCATGGCATCTCGTTTTGAAAGTTCTCATTATCCATCCTATCATTTTCCTCTCAGATGCGATAGTGACACTTTTGTGATCCTTGAAGGTGAGATCCTCTGACATTATCACTCCCAAGTTTTTCGGACTATTGTTTGGTTAGAATTTGTTGCATACTCTGTTCTATCTATTATTTCTTCAAGTTTTCCATAATGGAGTAGCTGAAATTTGTCCTCATTGAACATATTTTTTCCACTATTTATTGAAAAACTTAGTTTATATCCGCTTGGAGATTTACTTTGTCCTCATTGGATGATACTTTTATGGCTGGAGGATTTAAGTACTGTGTCACATATAAAAGAAAGGTGGCAGTACTTTACTGTGGCAGTCTGATTAATTGTTAAATAGGATTTGGTGCATATCTGGTTACTGGTTCACCTCTGAATTACATCTGATGTTTATATAATGTCTTTGTGTTTTCTATTTTGTGGGATCTTAATCAAGTTCATCACTCTTTCAAATAAGGTATGTAATTCTTTGATGTGTTATAATGTGATTGGTTCATTGTTAAGGTTTGAATTTGCTATCTTGCTGGAGCGAGAAGATTCTTAATTTATATTACACAATTCTTGGACAAAAGATTACGTAGTATTCTTTGATGCCGCAGTAATTGTGACTATTATTTGTCAATAATGAAGTGGAGCCGCTTTGAACCCTTGGTTATCAGGCGGAGGCTAGGATGCTGGAAGGCATTTAGGCGTTTATGGCTTAACTGACAAATCCAATCTTAATCAAGAAGTCCCCAGTATAAGGGAACCTGTCGAGGGAGATGGTCAGCTAATTCAGATCAACAATTATAGCAGGAAGTATGCTAGGTGTTAGGCAGGTAAGCTACGCTTAGGCTGCGCTATCTATAAAAAATGTATCTTGTTTTTCAGAATATAGCATATTTTACAAGAAACTTAACGTAACCTTAACATTAGCCAATATTTTTTTTATAGCTGGCACTACAGCAATACTGGTGTTAATTAAATTCTTGTTAAGTAAGTTATCAGTAAAGACATCATTGTCGAGCTGTGATAGTTACGAAGGTATAATAATATTCATTTAATACTGGTGATGATATTAGAGTAGTGACATGAAGGCTGTATGTCATCTGATTACCACCAATCAAGAATATTTAACCCAAAATAGGATTATGTATAGTCATGAGGACTACACTTTTTATATACCTGAGTGGTCGGAGGGAATGGGAGAGATTATAAATGTGACTTTTGAGTGTCACGCAGGCAGATGCTTAATGACTTTCTGTAGTGATAACCAAGAATCATTAATTTGGTGCATCTGATGTCAAATTACTTTTTAATCTAAAAATGAGAAAATAGCAAAACGGATATTATAAAAATTCAAGAGGTCACGAAACGAAACAGACTTAAAACTGTTCATGATACATTCAACTAAGGAAACTGGCAATTCAACAGCTTTGAATGCCCTGAGGTCCCACAAAAATCGTCATACATCGTCAAGAAGAAAGAGAAAAGGCGAGCCTAGTCTATCAGGTGCAAAGAGTCACACATATGAACCCAGATATACACAGTGTGGGTTTTTGTCTGTACATTTTCAATTATTATTATAATAAAAAAGAAGCGCTAAGCCACAAGGGCTATACAGCTGTACATTTTCAAATACGTAATTAAACTAGGGCCATGTGTGTCAGTGCCACGCATGTTGGTGGAGCCACTAGTATTAAAAGGGAGGAAATGTGTTGGTGCTACCATTATTGTAGGGAGAGAAACGTGTTGGGCAACTAGTATTATAAGGAAAGAAACATGTTTGGCCCACCAGAATTATAAAGAAAGAAATGTATTGCAGCCACTAGCATTATAAGGAAGGAAATATATTTGGATCACCAGCAGTTTAAGAGGGAAATACTGTGGTACTACCAACATTATAGGGAAGGAAACGTGTAGATTATTATTATAATGTATGACCCACAAGGGGTCATACAGCGCTGAGGAAATGTGTTGAGGCTGGGGTTCTGCATGAGTGAAATGAGCTACTGTGGAGTGCACGAGTTAAAAAAAAGTTAAAAGAATCACTTGTGTAGTTTATTTAATAATAAGTAAAATATAAAATTAGTTCTATATTAAAATACTGTGTTGTTTGTTGTTGTTGTTGTTACATGGGTAGCGAAAACCCGCAATGGTCATACACGCCTGGGAATAGGAGGCAATAAGTTTCGATCCAAGGAAGGGGAGAGCAGGTCTAATTCCTTGGATCAAAATCCGCTCACCGATTTCAAGGAGTCTCCCCTGAGAGGTAAGGGAACAACTACCAGTATCGCTGAAGCTTCAGACCGGACCGCGGGGGCGTTGACCCCCGAAACCCTCTCCAGGTAAACTCCAGGTAAGCTCATCCATGTTGCAGTTACGACGAGAAGTCAAGCAAAGCTTAGGTTTCAC